CCCTGGCAAGGGCACTTATCTTTGGGATGTGGCACTTATCCTTATCCGTGAGGGGTTCTAGTTCTCTTCAAGATCTCTGACAAGGTGATTATCCACACTTCTTGCAAGGTAGTGCATTGACGTGGTAAGAGGATGTCAGCCACGTAGGCGCCCACATGGTAGCTTCAACTTTCTAGGGTACCCGCCCGAACAAAAGCAAGTATGAAATTACAGAGCTATTTTTATAAGTATAAAGTATGAAATTACAAAACTTTGAATGTCAATAAAGTATAAAGTATGAAATAACATTGTGTTTATAGAATAGATTGATCCAAAAATGTGTCATGTGCAACTAGGGGTGGATTTGAGCTGAGCCAAGCCGAATAGTATGAGGCTCGAGCTCGGCTCGCTAAGGTTATACAAGGCTCGAGATCGAGCTCAAGCTCCGTTCGAGCTAGAACATTGAGCTTAAGCTCGGCTCGAGTCAAAAACTCATGAGCTCAAGTGTGGCTCAGCTCGAGCTTGATTTGAGAAAAAAAATGTTTTATAGAAATAAAAAATTATATATAAAAATATTTTTTATTTGATATTTAAAAAATTAAGAATTATAATATTTTTATTATATATACTATTTTCTATAATTTTATTATATATTCGAGCTTGACTCGCGAGCTCATTTATTAATTGAGCCTGTAAATTGGGCTCAAGTTCAAATCGAAGCTCAGTTGAAACCGAGCCAAGCCGAGCTTGAATAGTTCGCTTGTGAAGAGCTCAGCTCATGGCCACTTCTACATGCAACCCATTTGGATTGTCTTTCTCGCCCAAATGATAAAAACAGATTTCAAAGAACCTATTTTGTTTTTAAAGCCTTTTTTGCAAAGCTCAGTTGAAACCGAGCTGAGCCGAGCTCGAATAGTTCGCTTGTGAAGAGCTCGACTCATGGCCACTCCTACATGCAACCCATTTGGATTTTCTCGCCCAAATGATAAAAACAGATTTCAAAGAACCTATTTTGTTTTTAAAGCCTTTTTTGCATTGTTTTCTTCTTGTAAGTGACTAAAGTTTGTTTGGAGTACAAACACAGAAGCAGGGTAAATACACACCCCAGTTTGGTTTTACACATGTTTGATTGAGGTAGAAAAATGTTGCACAAATTGATGAAATATGCATAGTACATAGTAACATATACCCTAAAGAAGAAGGGTACAAAGTTTGCATTGGAAAAAAACAAAGCCAACTTTGTTCTCATTGAAGATTGAAGCAAGCAGATCACTTTGCACCACTGACTTGCAACCATTCTCCATGGCATGTAATATCACGGAGCTTCCATTTTTCTTGCAAGAATAGAATCTTCAACTGTCAACTCAGATTTGATGATATTGGCTTTGTCTTCATTGCATGAATGAATTCGCATCTGTGCCTCACAGAACGCACCCCGCAACATATCCCAACCGTGTATTGGGAGCGTCTTCCAATGACAATTACAGAAGATGTTCTAATGACAACTGGAGAGCCTGTGGGGTGCTGATGTGAACTCTCGTTATATTAGCAACCAATATGACCCTATCTGACATAATGCACACAGATCTAAGAACCAGATCTCTGATAAGTCGCAAATCTGTGAACGAAAAAAATAGGTTGTGAAAATCTGTAACTGGTTGGGAGATTTCTAACCTTTTGATAAAAAATACACAGAACCGATCAAGAAAAAGTAAACAGAACTAAAGAAAGAAAATATAGAGGGAGAGAAGGAACACTTAATATTGCTTGGGCGATCTTGACAAAGATGTAATGATTGGTGATTGGTAAAGATATCAATGCCAACTCCCAATCCTTTTGATTTCCAGCCATTTTAAACGGTTGTGAAAATCTTTAAGGTTGCATTTGGAAGCGGTGTAAATTTTGGTTCATTCTTCTTTTACACTCTGGTCCAATTTTGTAGCCATTTGGATGGGTGTAATAAATCACCGAAGATTGATGTAAACTTTATTTTGAAAAACTTTTACATCGATTTTTTCAATGTAAAACTTGATTGAACTACCCATACCCATCGGTGCAAGAAGTAATGGCTCTCTTCGACCCTTTCTCTCTCTCTCTCTCTCTATTCTCCTTGTGACAGGGTTCAGACGCAATCTTCTCAGTTCTCACAACACCGTTCCCAGGCATCTCATCGTCCCCATCTTGCAATGAATAAGAAGGTACATACCGAAGCCAAATCTACATGTTGTCCTTCAAATCTAAGGGAATGATGTCAACTCATCTCAGATTGAAGACAACCCAATATAGATCTGCGATTTTTTCCATTGTAGGTTTTTTATTTATTATATATTGTGTTTCTTAGATATGTTGTATTTCTTAAACCTAAATTTTTTATTCAGCTGGATCTGTATTCCTTTGAAGATGGGGTCGCTTTTGATTTGGATCTGTATTCCTTTGAAGATAGGGTCATTTTTAGCATTTGTATTTCTTAGATCTATCTAGGTACCTGTGGAGCCAAAGCTTCATGGTGTTTGCATTTATATTTCTTAGATAGGATTGTTAATGATATCTCACACACACTTTGTTTATATGATTTGTATAGGTTTATTGTATATGGATTTGGCCGATCTGTGTAGATTTAGGCCCCATTTGATTCGCAAGAATAGGGGTCTCGAATTGGAATCGGAATGGGCTATTCCGATTCTAACTATTTGGTTGGGAGGAACTGGAATCACATTCCCATTTCTACTGGAATGGCATTCCCCCATTTGAGGGAATGGCCATTCCCTGCCTCTCCCTTGGGAATGAAATCCCATTCCTGCTGATTTTAATTCCCATTCCTGTTTGAACCAAATAAACTATGGGAATGGACCATTCCGATTCTGATTCCAATTTCGATTCCAACTATGAACCAAATAGACCCTTATTGTATATAGAGTTATAGTCATTATAAAAGTTCAAGTATCAATACGTATCAGCCGATACATATCGTTCCGGGACCCCTCCGATACGCCCCTATAGTGGGTGTATTGGGGGTTTAACCATAAGGATGGCAATTTCCCCCGTAAAACCAGGGCCCCGCCCCACCCCGAATAGAGCGGGTTTTCCCCGACCCTAAACAAGGACAGGGCGGGGACATGGAAAATAATTTTTCCTCGAACCGGGTACAGGGCGGGGATGAGTTTTGTATATAATTCCCCGAACCCAAAGGTAAATTAGTAAAATATCTCTAGGTTTAATATTGATATTTAAAATATCTCCAAGTTTTTCCCAAAATTTTAAAATCTTAGGATCCCATAATTTTATTTTTGAATTACCCCTAAAGTATTATAGTTCAATTCTAAAATACCCCCAAATTCCTATATCTTATGTATAAATTGTCCATAAAATAGATAATTTTTAAGTAATTGCCTTAGAGCGGAGAAAATTTGAGGATTCCCTATCCCTGATGGGGAATGGATGCCCCGCCCCCCCACTGAGGACAGGGCAAGGTATTGTGACTTCGGGGCGAGGACGGGTAGGGGTGCCCTTCCCCGTTACCATTCCTATCTAACCGGTTCAGGGGGTGCCCTAAACCAGCCCCCCTGAACCGGTTAAAAAAAACAGTATCGATTCATTCGATATGCCCCTATCAGCATATCGGGCGTATCGATATTTTGAACCTTGGTCATTATATCTCTCCTCTCTTCTAGTGCAGAAAGGCATTATTTACAAAGCCATTTTGCATGACTATGATTTATCTTGTTTCTTCATATCTGTGACTAGCCGCGGATCTGTTGGATTGCTGGCTGAGGCGAATGCCCACAAATATGTATGTATTTGCATTGATCAAAACCAAATGGGATGAATACATTGGAGCTGGAAAAAACGGTTTGAAAATTGTATTCCCATGAACAGCAGAGTTTTGCATTTGTTCCATTCACTTTTGTATTTGCACTCTAAACAACAAACACAGCCTAAACAAAAAAAAAAAAAAAAAAACGAAAAGAATAAAAAAGGAAACAAAGGATAAATTACCTGTTGCAGCTGATGAGATAACAATCATCCAACTGCAACTAACACCTCTCCCTCTCCAACAAAGAACTACCGAGAAATAACACAGCTAAATCCCCAATAGGCCCAGTTATATGGAATGGTTTAGCTGAATGTAGAACCAATAAATAGTGTTTCGCACGGGTCATAAAATACATGTTAGCACCCACAGAGTACACACACTACATGCACATCTCACCGTGCATTGGAAACATCTCCCATGTCATGGAGAGATGTGTTCGCATTACACAGTTGGCATGCACTGTGGGGCGTCAATGCAAATTCCAAGCATTCAAATTCTCACTGTGGGTCTCATGTATCACTGGCATGAAACATTACAATTGGTTCCACAGCCAGCAACACAGCTAAGACGTTCAGCTAATCCGGATTCAGTCGTGACTCTGTGCCATACTGGCTCTCCAGCTGCTGAGAAATAATAGAAATGGTCTCTTTATCTACTGCTCAAGTAAAACAACCATTTAAAATATCTACTGCAAACAAACAATCTATTCTCTAATGCTTTAGTTTCAAAATATCTACTGCGACAACATCCTCTCTAATGTTTTCAAAATACTTTGTATCAAACCATATTGGAAGCATTACAAAACCAAATATTTTTTCAGAAGGCCTAGAAAACCTATCATTTCTTTTCCTGAGACTCATGGACGACATTTATAATGGTGCAAATGTACCTGTAATAGTAATGGAGGGGGATAAGCTTTAAAATACCAAACATCTCTCCCAAGTAATTGCATTCCCAGAAGGATGTGGAATAAAATCAAACCTACTTGTTATGCCCAAGGCATCAAACCTACTTAAAACTATGTGCTTTTATATATTTTTTTAGTATTTTCTCAAAAGTTGGTTTTTATATGTATTTTTTTGGAACCCAAACGATACGATACAATATACCTGATGTGGGGCATATCGTATCAAACCTTGGTTACTAGCATAACAGGATTAAGAGCCGAGTGCATTACCAGAATGATAGGAACATCCTCTGAACACAGTTTACATCCCAGGGGCAAATTTCACGGGCAACGAGAATTCCTAGTCCTGTAACCAACAGCAAGAACCATTCCTAGTAATACCTGCTTGCCCACATATAAAGAAACAGGAAACAGATAACCAAATTGTCTAAGCAAAGTCTAATCTAACTGAGATTGAACTAAATGCTCAAAAAATGTCACAAGAGTAGCAATTAGACAATCAGAAGCAAGACGAAAACTGGAACATCAGGAACTCCAAAAAGAAATTCTAAATGTGCTAATCAATCTGTGCTTTGTTAATCAGCCTCAGCATAAGCTGTCTCTAGATGAGCTTGCTCAGCTTCGCGCACCTCTTTCTCAGTTTTCCTGCCTTTCTTTGACTTGTAGTAAACACTCATGAATGTCCCAACAGCTCCATACTTCTTTCGGCAATGCTCATAGAGCTCAGCATCAAACATCCTCCAGAAGTTCCTCTCACTCAGCTCAGACACAGCATACTGTGGCTGGAAGCCATGGTTTTCAATCAACCAGTTCTCCATCCGACGGACAGCCTCTGCCCCATCAAATTCCTCACCCCTCAAAACGGGCCCTGGGGCATAGTAGATGCCAACATCTGTGTACATTTGAGCATATTCTGTATCTCCCTGTCTATGATGTAGCTCAAAACCAGGTTCAGGATAGACCATAGTTTTAACAGGAAGTTTGTACAGTCTGTGAGGACAGAGCCAAATTGGATATACCTGGAATGTAGCAAATAGAAATTGTTAACCAATCCCAAGGACCAGAACACAAAAATTCCCATTTTTTAAATTTTGGTAAATTGTCAGGAATGTTAACCAGTCCCAGGGACCAGATCTGGATTTCTTGATGCACATTTCTCTTACAAAATCCAGAAAACATCGTGCATAGCTAGTATTTGTTATGGTCCTAGTGATTGCAATGACTATTATCTACATATACACATGTCCGTTGGAGCTCGAACAAGTATGATTTTTTTGAACCAGATGATTGCAAGAGTCAAGAAAAGATAAAGAAAGAAAGAGAGAATCACACATACTGTGCAGCTAGAGATAATAAGAGAACAAAAAGGTTGCTTCAAAAAAAAGAGAACAAAAAGTCTCCTATTTCAAAAGTAAAATGAGGCATACCTCCATTTCATGGTGTGCCCACTCTAGTGCATCCCCGACCTTGTACAATGGAACAAGCATGTCCTGGATCACATGCATCTCATGGTAATACTTCCTGATTGCTTCACCTTGAGTAGCCTTCAGAAGAGAAACCTTAGGAGGCATCATCCACCCCAAGGTCCACCTGAACCACCATTGATCTGCAAATGGTAGAATCAGTTTTCCCTCCCAATACAAACACCTTGTATGCCTATGGTAGTACTCCCGTGTAGGAATGTATTCCACAAACTCCCCCTTCTTCAGAGCCTTCTCAGCATGCTGGTAGAACCAGGGCTTGAACCACCACCCAACACTGTTAATCACATTTCCCTTCTTCTTTGCCTCTTCCTTGGAGGCATATCTCCCAATCATGCAAACAGCTTTAGTGGGAGAATAAATCATGGTTTCTACAAAGTCTGGAACCTTCTCAGGGTTGTCCTGATCTCCATCTCGTGGTGCAAATGAATCTATATATGCTTGTGCAAGCTCCTTTAGATTACCCACAACCGGTTTGTAGGTCAGCCTCATGTATTCTTTAACAGGTATGAGCTTGATCTCTGCAGCAACAAGAAGCCCCAGTGTTCCCTGAGACCATGGAATTGCATAGAAGAGATCAGAGTACTCATTGTCTTTGGTCGCTCTGACTAACCTCCCATCTGCAAGAACAATCTCATATGCCACAACAGTATCAGAGAAGAGACCATAGAGGTGGGAACTCCCTTCAATTCCATAGCCATTGATGAGGCCTCCAACAGTGAGATCATCAAGCTCTGCAACCACAGCAAGAGAGAGGTTCATTGGAACTGTTGCCCTACTGATCTGGCCCATGTTGACTAGAGGCTCAACCCTTGCAATCATTCGCTCTTTGTCAATATCAAGGATGTTTCGAAATTCTGAGAGATCAACCTCAAAATGCCGTGCCCGCTTATAGTCAACATTCCGCATGCCAACAGCAATGTAGGGCTTACGGGCTGTGCAGACAAGACCATCCTTCGATGGGTTCCTTTGCTTGAGGCGGTTCACAACTTTCTTGACATTCTCATCATGTTCCTTTTGACGCCTTTTAAAGGACTTGCACTCTGATCTGACATCTCCAAGATAGGTGAGGAAGTAGATGCTGAAGGAGATAGGAAGGACAACAAAGATAACGATGATCCATCGAAACTTAACAAAGTAGTCTACCCAATTCTTCTTCCTCTTGGGTCGAAGAGGAGCCTCAAGGTCCGACATGGTGGAAGAAGAACAAAAATGATTTTAGCTGCATTGGAAAACATAAAGAACATAAGCTGTAAGCATTGACTCGTATTCAGCACTCTGATTTAGGGATGCCAATAGGAATGCAGAACAAAATCAACATGGACTAACCATATTTTTGTAATCCATAGCACATAAATAATAAGTTGGAGACAAAAGCAATAACACTAATTTAATTCTAGTTCAGAACTTTGGCAATCTGTATGATCATATCTCCTTGATTTAGAATTTCGCTTCCCATCAGTTGAAACATAAATGGGATGAGAAAAAAATTAGAAAGCAGAAAACAGAATAGATTGAGAAAGATTCAATGGAAAGAAGCAATAAATTAGGAACGCCACATCAGATATCAATTTATGTAAGATCACCTTCTCTGAACCAAAATGAAATAGAACCAAAAGGTCTGCTACTAATTGATGTCAGACTTGAATAACCCAAGGACGAGTCCAGAAGGTTTAGTATGGATTTAGGGGAAATTTTAGGACTAAAAGCAGAGATTGTTAGGTTAGGCATATATGACCACTTGTCTCCCACACCACACAAGAAGCAAAAAGTCTGAAGTACAAAAAAATATCAGAACAAAGATAATAGTTAAGATGCCAACATTTTCCATCAAACAGCATAGAAGTACCAGACAACCTGCAAATGAAATTTCCTGTTCCTGCAAAGGAAATAGAATAAAAGAAAACAAACTAAATCTGGAGGACTTTGCAAATAAGCAAAGTTGGTAGATGAAACTATTGAAGCTGAAAAAGAAAAAAGCATCCAAATTCAAAACCCTGTTCAAAGTGTGTTAATGGCAACAGAAGACCTGATATGTGTTTTTCTATCTCTACAGTGTGCACTGTCCAATAGTAAAAGCCAAAGCAGGTTTTACATTTCATATTCTGCAACTGGAGAAGAGATTATACAGTTTCTTCATGCAAGTAGATGGAAGCAAAGCTCCAAAGACAAAATTGGGTATCCCAGGGTTATTTTTCGAACTAAATGGTTCCTCCTTAGAAGTCATTTAGCAACTCCCTGTGAAATAAACATAATCCAAGGTTCACACCTGATCTGAGGCACGAGAGAGACCAGGTACACGTCTAGGCACACTAGGCACATGCCATTCCAAAGGTCTGTGCCTGGGCCTAGGCGAGGAGCAGACCTTGAAATGTGCCTCACCTATGTGCCTAGGCATGCCCTTTAAATCACTGGAGTGGGTAGGGGTTGGTTCATCTGAAAAATGTGTATGAAGGTCCGGGTTCATTCTTGTCAATCCTTGACATTCCCTTCATTTTTAAGGAGTATTTTGTTTTAATGGTTTGTATTCAGGTAAGAAAAATACAGTTCATTTAATACCTTATGGCTTTATGAGATAGTTTCTGAGAAAATTTAGCTAATGTAGGTGCACAATATGAAAAATAGGTAGGACCAAGGTTCAAAATATCGATACACCTGGATGCACCAGGAGTGTACCAATACTTCGAACCTTGCACTTCCTATTTTCTTTTTCATTTTTTTTTTCAAATTTCATGGGAGGGGGGCATTTTTATGTTATTTAATGATTAAAAAAAGAGTTTTTAAAAATACCTTAAAACATGTCTATCGTTGAGCAAAAGATACGGTATAAAAAAAGAGTTTTTATACATGGCATATCATGTTGACATTTTGAACCTTGGGTAGAACAAACTGAATTAAATAAAAGAAAATTAATATGGATGGATAGTTGAACACAAAGGAGATGTAGTAAATTAACAGATAGTGTTGTGCGCATAGAAGTATTGACATGTGTCTACCATGTGAATAAAACACAATGTCCAACACAACCACTAATTTCAGAAATTGAAAGGACCTTGTAAAGGAGGAGAGCATCAACAAACTCCACAGGGAAAAACTTCAACAAAACCTACCACTTAATGAATCCATCTGAGAAATCTTCTGCGTGACAAAACTTGGCTAGACTATTAGATTGTAATTATGTAATATCAAATTCATGTAGTACTTTTTGGACAAAACTATTCTACATACAACATACCTACCTAAGATGCAACAACAAGTCATATTTTAGATGATAAAAGAACTACACACAAAATCATAAAATACATTCAGGTAAAATGAAAAAGGGGCCAAAAACATGCACCTACAGTTTTCCATTTTCTCGAAGAAGCAGCTATGAAATACATAGCAAATGATACATCAAAAGAGAAAAAATTCATGCTCATCCTATAATCTTTTCCATGACGCCATTCAAGCAAAACCAGAAAACCAATATAAAACCTTCAAAGTAAAACATTTGCAGGTGAAAAAATAAGGTTGTGCTTGAGTCCTTGGGTAAATAAATTGGAAAAGAAAAGTCATGGCAAAATCCTTCAGGCATTTCTTAGGAAGCCTAAAAGAATTTCCAACAACTTTCTTTCTCTTCCTTATTTTCTGTGGAACCAAATGCAACCTTTAATAAGATTATAAAACCCTTCATGAAAGTAATAAAAATGTTTTTTTTTTTTTATGTCTACAAGTTGAAGAGGATAACATGAACTTTTGAAAAGCTCTAAATGTCACTTGAGCACTTTCAGTCAATAAAACTGATGGCATGGCATGTTAACAGAGAGGTGGAATAAGTAACTTAACCCAAATAAGTGGCAAGCAAGTCCATGTGATATGACTATATTATGTGTTTATATATAGTTTTTGAAGCTAAATGTCATTCCTCAAGAATTATGTCTTGCCAGATTTAAATAAATTTCTGAAATTTGTAGATGTTTTTATAGCATACCACTTAACATATTTTAAAACTGTTGATGCCATAGGGTACATCTAGAAGCACCCATGCAGCATCTAGTATCAGATAGAATACCAGTATGCTAGGCATGTTGTATACTTGTATAGGCCTCTATATATCATAAAGGGGAGGTGAAACCCCAGGGGAGGCTAAGTAACCTTTTCCATGCAAATAGAAGAGTCTGGTTACCAAAGAAACTCCAACGAAACCTGAAAATAATCCAACATAAGCCATCCACCTATTGTATAAACGTCAACATTTTAGATCTAATGCATTGGTGGGAAAACAAAGAGGGAAAATTATAGTGGCAGAAGAGCTCAAAGATCTAGAAGTGTAATTCAGAGGAAGCTATAAACATCAAAATAGTAAGAAGAAGAGCCCCCACAAAACCCCACTTTGGTAAATACCTAATACCGTTCTTCACACTTGCGCAGGTTTAAACTACCCAGTAAAAATAAATCAGCATTTTAAAAACTCCAGTCAGAGATCTGAATTCTGAATTTGGTAGTTATTTTCCCACTGGGACATATTAATGCATACAAGTATGTATGTGTATATAGCCAATTCACCCCGATATGCAGAAAGGGTGTATTGATACATGGAACCTTGCACTTCTTATTTTTTAGTTTTTTTATCAAAATTTCACCAGGGGCATTTTTATATTATTTAATTATTAAAAAAGAGTTTTTAAAAATACCTTAAAAGATGCGTATTACTGAGCAAAAGATAGGATATTGTATTTTATACTTTGAACCTTGATGGCATATATTAGGGCTTTGAGGACTATTACTGCATTACAGAGCTATCCTCTGATTTAATAAAGGGTAAATTACAGATAGGTACCCTGTACTTTGGGATAGTCACAGATAGGTACCCTGGACTTTCAATTGCAACACTTGAGTACCCTGAACTTTCAAAAATAGACACTTAGGTCCATCTGTTAGTATTCCGTCAGTTAAACATTGCATAATGCCAAAAATACCCTTCTTGTGTATTTCTGAGATCAATCTCAGGTAACCGAACGTCTCCCCATAATGACATTCTCACATAGACAGAAAATAAATAACATACTCAAATTTTCAGACAACAGCATTCTCTGGTGATGATTTTACTCCGAAGAATGATCTCGAAAAAATACACAAGAAGGATATTTTTAACATTATGTAATGTTTAACTGACGGAATACTAACGGATTGAGCCAAGTGTCTATTTTCGCGAGTTCAGGGTACCCCAAGTGTTGTAATTGAAAGTTCAGGGTACCTATCTGTCACTACCCCCAAATTACAGAGAGTACCTATCTGTAATTTACCCTTTAATAAATTTTGTTATCACCAAACTACTGAAAATAAAAAAGAATTTGGTGTCCAAGGAAGAAGCTCAGAAACAAAAAAGAAATTAAAATACCATGTAGAACTAGAGTGGAAAATCTAACGAGAATAACATTGAACAAGAATTCAATGTGAGATCTAAGAATACGAAGGAAAAATGGTAGTCATTCCACAAAACAACTAAACATGAAATACAATATGATTTGAAAATGATTTAAAGAACTTAACATGCCACTCAATTAAAGAAAAAAAAAAGAATAAAAAAGGACGACATATGCATTTCCTATTGTATGAATCTCAAGAAGATCAAGGATGCAACAACATAGTACTAATACTACAGCCTCCCTCAGTAGCTCCCATGATCATGAACCATACAATTTACAAATCCAAAGGCATGGGATCGAAACCTCTTCTCCTATTCTTCTTTGCATGCCTTTATTTTTAAATTTTGTTGGGAACTGGGGGGAGCAGCATGGGTGACTTTAGAGATAAGCATCACAATGTAGCAAAACATCTAGCTCGGAATGCAAAACAGCTGAAGATCAAGTAACATGCAACTCAAAAAGTTTGCATAACGCATAACTGTACAAATCAAACCTACATTGCCAGGAAACAGCAGATTAAGAGCAACAATGAAGATACTCAAAGAAAACCTAATAAGATCCGGTTCTAGCAACATCTCAGACAACTAAGAAACGGTAAAGAGACATCACTTCAAACGCCAAGAATTTCCAGATCCCACTCAGAACAGATCAACTCCATGAAAACACTTTCAACGACACAAATTGCAAAATACACTTATCTCGGACCCAGAAACACAGATCCGAAGCCCTAGACGAACCCACAAAAAAACATTGAAATTACCTCAACGAAATGCAGCTCAGAAACGGCAAGACCGGAGCCGGAAAAGATCCAGCATGTCAAAAAGCTTGAACAGAAAAGGTGAAGCAGAGGAGCTGAGATAAGAAAGAGTAAAACAGATCGAGTGAGATATATATATATATATAAAGAAGAACAAAGTAGTACAGAAACCAACGAGAGATACCCTGGAGATTCGCTGGCGGTCACGTTGGGATTCAGAAAGTCATGTGAGAATGTGACGGAATAGCATTAAAAATTTAAAATAATCTCACACAGGAAACTAATATAAAATTCATAAAAAGTTAAAAACAACCACAACCCAGATGCCCTCTTAGGGTTCTCATTCATTTGAAATCAAACCCTCAAAAAGTAAGAGAGTACGAAACGATAAAATAAGAAGGTAATAAGATAGGGTTTTTGGGACGCCATCAATGTACCTGACCGAGAAATGCAGTGACTGAGGTAATGCAGTGAGAGGGAGAGAGTGGGTGAGAGCTTGAGCGAAATTTGTCTCGACTCTCGTCTCGTTTTGTCTCGTTTCGTCTCGTATCGTCCCTCGTTATCAAGAAGACTCACAAAAAGAGTGACGCCCCTGGTTGTCTGGACATGGGGGATTAAATGACTGAAAACCACATTAGTGATATTTTCATGTGAAGACTGAAGACTGAAGACTGAGAATGAAGAAGAGTGTGAAGGTGCGAGAAAAAAGGGAGTGAAAACCACATTTTGGGGCCTGTCCATGGGTCGGGTCTGGGTCGGAACGGGTACCCCAGCCTAGCACTGATCCTAATTATCCTATTACCGATCAAAATGACCATCCCCATTGATAATCGGATCTAGTCCGATATATTATAGTGATAAATATAAGGAATAATTATTTAATATACTATTTAAATGTAACATGTACTTCTAAAAACTCCCCTCACTTTTTAAAATGGATTAATATCTCCCCTGTATTTATAATATTCAACAGAATCATTAAAAATCTCTTTTGTCCTTATTAATTGAAGCATTCAAAATAGAAAATACTAAGGTGGCGTTTGATAAATCTGAAATCCGAAATTTAAAAAGTTAAAAAATATATTAAAAGTGTTTTAAATTTGGAAAGAGATAGATGCTTTTTTTTTTTTTGACTTGTTAGAGGCTCTTAATAGACAAGGTTGTTTGTGTTGAATCAAACATTCTGGATTTGAAATTTCTTAATTTTACTATTTTACCCCTAAAACATAATATTTGGTAATTTTGAATGCAATTTGTACTATATCATAAAAAATAATTTATTAAATTCAAAATAATATTGAAAAATAATAATTAAATTATAAATAATTATAAAAAATTACAAAAAAAATTATTAAAATAAGAATAAAATTGAAAATACATATAAATTTATAAATTAAAATAAATTATTAAAAGTTGAAATAATAATGAAAATAGTAATAAAGTCCATGAAGCAATAAAAAATATTTAATAATTAGCAAATTAATATCTTAAAACTATTACAATATTTAATAATTAATACAAATAAAAATTATAAAAACTAATTTATTAAAATAAGAATAAAATTAGAAAGTACGTATAGGAAGACAAGGGAGAGAGTGTTAACCGCCACTACTAAGAGTTGTAGCGGTTGTAGTAAGAAGACAGAGGAGAGAGAGCACAAGCGGCTCATCATGGGAGAAGTGCAAATCGATTTCCCTCTTTCCTAAACTTCTCAACCAAGATGGATCTATGAAGCAAAGGATGTAGAGAACATCGAGGAGGAGGAGGAGGAAGAGAAGAAGAGGAGAGGGGGAGAGAGAGAGAAGGGCAAAGGGAGTAGCTTGCGTCGCTGGTTCACCATTGAGTAAAGAAGAAGAAGAAGAAGAGGAGGAGGAGGAGGATGAGGAGGAGGAGAGGGGGAGAGAGAGAGAGAAGGGTGAAGGGAGAAGCTTGCACTGCTGGTTTGCCATCGAGTAGAGAATAAGAAGAATGAGAGAGAGGGGGAGAGAGAAAAAGCCAAAGGGAGAATGAGGGGCATAATGAGTATGGACATTTTTGTCTTTCAATGCAATCTGAAACACATCTGAGCACGTTAAATCATTGGCCCGCCTCTTACAATTTCAGATCTAAAAATAAATTTCAGATCTTTTTTTAGACTCAACCCAAACAAAGGTGGCGTCTGAAAAACAACATTTTTAGACTTCAGAGGTTTGAAAATTATTATCAAACGCCATCTAAGTGTCCCTTCTACTCTTATTTTTAAGCAATAATAATCGAAAGAGGGCAACTCCATCCACCTATTCATACTAGTTTCAAGTATATATCGAGATCTATTGCACCTCTTTTCAGCACTTTTACGGCAAGTTTATCTTGGTTATTGAACTTTTTGATCTTAGAAGTTGTTTAGATCATTTGATTGTTTATTTTTTGTTCACATTTCAAATAGGAAGATTGGCTCTACCACTTCCTTGAGAAAATAAAAGATAGGTAATTTATTGGGATTTTTATTTTAGGTATAGCTCAATTTGGCTTTAAATCGTTGAGCTCAAATGGTTAAATGTGCTCTTTCAATTGATTTTTACAATTTTTTGACAGATCATGATGGGTTCAGCATTAACAATCTAATATTTGTTTTCTTATGTCCATCTGAAACATTATAATCCTAGTTGTGCAAGTTAATCTTTGCAAGTTTAAAGATCCATTTGTAAAACACCAAAATTCCAATTTTGCAAAGTTTAGTAAATTGAATCTTGTTTGCATCATCAAATCTTGCAATGGTTTCAACACCCATCAAAACGATTAGAAAATTATGACATCAAATTTGTTTTGATATATTTTTTTGCTTCACCATTAAAAGGGCAAAATGGGGTTTTGAAAAAATTTAACATCATATGTAAGGAAATCTTAACATGTTAGTGATGGAGGAGAGGGTCTTTGTCTAATGACATCACCTAGCAACGGAGGTTTTAGTCCATTTTGTAGGTAGTGGAGGTTCTAGTATTTATGTGAAATTCAAGGGAGGTTTAAGCCTTTTATGCTAAAAACTACTTATGTATACCTTGTTGACCTTTTAAAGGTTAAGTTTAACAGATAAAATCTAAAGAACAAAAGCTCCCTTAATTGTTCATTAAATTTTGAAAACATCTCTCTCCCTCCTCTCTCTCCTCCTCCCTCCTTTTTCTTTTCTTAGATGCTACAAAAACCGTGCCTGACTTCACTATTTCTCCCTCTTTCTCTTTTTCTCTCCCTTCCTCCTCTTGTTCTTGTTCTTGTACTTCTTCCATTTTCTCCATCTTCTCTATTTTCTCTTCCTCCTTCCATTTTTACTTACTTGAAAATGTTTCCTGGGTAACACTTACCTGAGTAAGTTCACTTATCCATGTTCTTTTGATTCTTAGGTAAATATTGTAGTGACTTTTTTACCCATAAAAAGACAATGTTAAAATGGAAAAACTTGTCCTATTATGTTTTATACACTTTTTCTCCAAATGGGAAAGTTACCCACCCACCTAGGAGATGGGGTAAGTTTTACTCGAATAAACGAAGATGACTTTACAATGGGGGCCTAGTATTTATTGCAAAAAAGAACACTATAAAGTTGGTCAATGGGAAAGAGATACCCATTGACCAACTTTCCCCTCTTATTTACTGGTAAACGAATGGTGCCTTAGAAGAAAAGAAAAGAAAGTTCCCTCTACTTTAACCTCTTCAAAATTTTCCATTGTCATTTTAAAGAAATGATATAGATAGACCCTTTTTCATTAGTTAGAGTTAATAACCTATCCAAAATGTTGATATCATGAACACTTCAAAATTTCCAATTTGCCTATGAATAATAATATTAGAATGTCCATTGACCAAAATACCACCAAGAAAGCTCTTTTTCATATTTCAATAATAAATGCATATTTCAAAATGCCTCCAAAAGACTTTTTATTGCAATATATTTATCATTGAAACTAGTGTAAGAGCAAGTGTAGAAATATTAACAATATACGACATATGGCATTTGGATTTAACTTTTATAACCAGAACCCAAGGCAAGTATCCACTTTATTCAATTCAAATCTAATTCAATTAAAATATCAACAGACCTATATGAAATTATGATAAATAAAAATCCATACCATGAATAAAAATTAGTTCACCTAAATCCCAAATTCCACTTAATTTTGAAGAATTTAAATACTAAAAATGATATTTTACATATGTGTGTAGATCCTAACAAATTGGATTAAGCAATACCTAAATTGGATCCAATTAATGAATGGATCAGATTCTCATATACAAATTGATCCACTTTGAAATCAAATATATTGAAGTCAATTTCATTTATAGTTTTATCCAAAACCAAAACCATAATTGACCCAAGCAATCCTATTTCTGTCTATGTATTGGCATATATGTATATACGATATGTATTAATATATAAAACCAAAGGGTTCCACTATGATATCTGAAAAATTTTTTGACCAATCAACTGGTATCATAAACATGGTAGTCAATCAAGTGTTATTTATCAAAATTCTTTGGTGGGTTTTGATTGGTGAAAACTCTTCCAATACCATGTCTTTCCCGCGTTAAATGCAAATGAAGTTGATCTTCTTGTGACATTTAATTTAAACGTTGCTAAAGGATTTTCACAATGTTTCATTTACTTTAAATGTTAATGAAACTGATATTTTCATGATGATTAATTTAAAGGTTGCCAAAAGTGTAATTTTAGTGACCGTTTGTTTTTTTGGCAATTGCCAAAGTTGTTTCTTGCCACTTCCATTCTTTTACCAATTCCTTTCTGTGACATTTTAGGGGGGTGGGGGTTAAAGGGATCTGAAAGTTGTTGCCACCTAATTTTTGCATGAAAAAATAGGAAAGAGAGAGAGAGAGAAGGAAAGAAATGGAGAGGAGATTATCCCTCTATTGCATCTCCCTATTCTACAATTTCTTAAATTGAAGGTATAGTGATATGCATTTCATACCAATTTGCTTAATTGCAACCTATTCCAATGACTTTTGCATAATTATAAATGATAATCCAATATTTTTATAACACATCACAACTTCTCAAATGATTAAATAAAATAACAATGATATTCAAATCAACATTTTCAACTTGAATGTTCAATATATGTTAAACCAATCCTTCTCTTAATTATCCAAGTGTCAAGTGCGTGTCAAATTAGTGTATTCAAATGAAATCATAGTAAATAGAAGTGGGAAAATAAAATAGAACACAAGACACTAGATTTATAATAGTTAAGGAAATCACAAGATTACATCCACTCCTCGGTATAGCTTAAGAATTTTATTGCACTAATTCCAATTAATTTAAAGATACTAGTCAAACCCTTACAGTGATTGGTTAATACAATGTTAGTCACTCTCCAACCTGTTGATATGGTGCTAACCCACTTTGACTAGTTGAGATAGCGCCATTAATAGTCAATTAGTTGATACAATGCTAGTTTGATATGGTTCTAGTGACACCAATGGTTGGTAGATATTGTGTTGGCCACACTCCAGTCTCCAGCTAGTTGATACAGTGCTAATCCACCAGCTGAGCAGCAACTCAAGGGACTAAAAGGATTACAGTTTGATACCAAATGTTGTTAAAAAGAATGTGCAAACACATGCACCAAGCTCAATGAAAGTACTAATTAGTATTC